ATGCTTTGGGGGACAAAGCTTTCGGAGAAGAAAAAATAAATGTTTTAAATGAAAAGTATTGGAACCACTTCCTGGAATGGAGTAGGAAGACAGAACGTGATTTCAGGAGCCGTTAAATCCATTGTCTTCAAACTTGGCAAGTTTAAGACTTGTGGACTTCAACTCCCAGAATTCCTGAACTAACATGACTGGAGGAGGAATTCTGGGAGTTGAAGTCCACAAGTCTTAAAGCTGAAGACCCCCGCTTTAAATCTAGGGCAGAAAAAATTACAAATATTGAATTATAGGTGTTTTTTTTTAACCCAATATATAAACAGTTATCAAATCAGACAGGTGGTCCTGGACTTACAACAGTTCGAAGTTACAACTGTACTGAAAAATAGTGATTTATGTCCATTTTTCACACTTATGACCGTGGCAGCATCCGCCACGGTCGCATGAGTTACATCCAGCTGCGTGACAACTGACTCACAGTTATGATGATCACAGAGTCACAGAAGGTTTGCGACATTCCGACAAGCAAGTCAACCTGGAAACCAAATTTCCTTAACAACTGGGGGACTAATTTAACAACTTGCAGTGATTCCGTTTTAACAAACGCAGCGAAAAAAGTTGAAAAACAGAGCAAAACTCCCTCAACAAATTTCTCCCTTAGTGACATAAAGTTTGTCTCCCACTGTGGTTGTATGTTGACGGCCATCTGTGCTTTCCCTTTGCAATGCAAGAAGACTAATTTTGGATGCTAATTTTGTTTCTAGCCTTTCTGTAGCACATTTCAAAATGAACAATGCTATAAATATTCACCCCCTCTTTACATATATATATATATATATATATATATGTATATACACATATATAATAATATAATATATATAAGGCCATGCATAATGCAGTTCAATGCATAATGCAATTCAATGCATAATCCAATGCAATGCAAATATATAAGTATATGTATATATATATATATATTACATTACATCACATTACATACATACATACATACACACACACACACATATCACATCTTCGACCAGTTTTCTGAATAAATAGCCAACAAAACATTCCAGGGAGACTCCAGGCAATTTAAAGTGATATGAAAGTGTGTTTGTTTTTTATTGCAAAAGTCCCTGATGGGAAGATTAGAAAGGTGATAGATATGTAAAGCTTGGTGAAGGTGGGGATAGATAGGAGAACATATTCAAGATTGACGTGTTACACAACTCTGAAAAAAAATTAATGATTCAAGACTCAGGTTTTGTTTCCAGTTATATAACTTAGCAATTTTGCACTATTAGTCAAAGGCTTATTTAAAGATCTGAAAGCATTTAAGTAATCCGGTAACACAGACCAGAGCTTTTAAGAAATATCTTTGACTTGGTCCAAAATTCTCAATCCAATCCTGTTCTATCAAGTCTGATTTTATTTTTTTTTCCCTCCCCGCTTTCCAAAGGATGCTAAATTCACCCATTTTGCAATTCCAGCTCAAGATTTCTCTGCCATGCTATTTTAGGGCATGTCGCCTAGCATCAACCAAACTCCTAGCTAGCTGCTGGCCGACATGGAGATTTAGGGGAAAATTGAACACAAACTAGGATTATCTGAAAGAAAGAAGAAAAAAATCTCCCCTCAAGATTCCAAATAGGAATGGTTGCACCGAGAGTGCAGAAAGTCCCTGGACTTATGACGGTGACCGAGTGCCCAAAATTTCCCGGTGTTAAGCGCAACGTTTGCTAGGTGAATTTTGTTCCACGTTAACTACAGTTGTTAAGGGAATCCCTGCAATTGTTAATTTGGGCACAGGGTTGTTGAGTGAACCCGGCTTTCCGATTGACGTTGCTTAAGGTCGCAAAAGGGAATCATGCAACGGTCATAACTATTAATCAGTTTGCTGAACGTCTGAATTTTAGTCATGTGATCGCGGTGGGTGCTGCAATGGTCATAAATGTGAAAAAAATGGTCATTGATTTTTCAACACTGTTCTAACTTCAAATGGTCACTAAAGGAACCGTTGTAAGTCGAGGACTATCTGTATACAGTTTTTTTTAGAAAACTCAAGGGCATTTTGGGGACTCACTAGCCATATTACATCTTGCTCACCAGTATATTCCATGGCGAAATGTAAAGACAAATAAATGGCTATACATGAAGGCAGTTTTCATGTTGACGAAAAACTTCACAATCGTTTTGAAGACATTTTAGAAGGCGGATTTATCTCGGGGTTATTTTGAAAAGTCACAGCTAAGGCTACAATGCTTATTACATCTCCTTTTATCTTTTCCTTTCTTTTTCCTTTGGCTGCACTTGCAAAATTAATTAATAGTCATCATAAGGAAACCTCTCCTTGACTAGGCACCTTATAATTAAATCGGTGTCTCTCTCTCTCACACACACACACACACACAAAGGAGTATTCCTTCTTCCAGATGTTGTAGATTTTAGAAGCAGTCTGTGATGACCCAGGGTGTAACACAAACGTAACAAAATCCAAAACGTAAATAAATGTCCTTCAATGCCTCCAACTTGGCCCCACTGTTCAACAATACTCAGTTGGGGATAAAACGTACTCAAAAATAGTCTTCAAAAGAAAGCAATACAGTCCGAATTTAATGAGCAGATAGAGGTGAAATAAAAAAACCAAACAAACTACAATGATGAAATTTCCACAATGGAAAAAGATAAGTATTTGCCAAATTCAAGGAGATAACAAGGCGCAGTCTGTTGGAAGGACGCCAACCAAGATAACTTCAGGCCCAAATAAAACAAGCTTTGTTTCCAGCGTTTGCCAGTACACAGGTCCAAACTCTTATTCAGCTGTCACAGCTGCAGCCCATGAAGAGGATCAAGGCCCTCTCCTCCCGAGGAGACCACATCTCTCCCTTATCCTTTCCACTCTGTGTGCCCTAGGATGGATAGGGGATGGGCCTGGGTCCTCTTCTGACTGCTCAGCCAGCCATAGGTTTGCCATCACGGGCCTAGGTTGACTTTAAGTGGAATTGTTTTCAAAGCCAAAGGTACTTTCTTTTTCAAGAGGCAACTGGACTTTCTGTTTTTTTCTCTGAAGACCTTTCACTTCTCATCCAAGAAGCTTCTTCGGCTCTGACTGGATGGTGGGGAATGATCATCCAGTCAGAGCTGAAGAAGCTTCTTGGATGAGAAGCGAAATGTCTTCAAAGAAAAACCAAGAAAGTCCAGTCGCTTCTTGGGAGGAAAAAAAAAACACATTTGGGACAACCATGATCTGGATGACGGAGAATCTCCATAGACAAATTGCTTTCAAAGTAAGGAGTTCTCAGGCTTAGCCTCTGGCTTAAAGTTAATCTCTAGTTCAAGGTGGAATTTAGGGAGGAAAAAAAGGATTTGGAAATTGTGAGAAAAAAGGATTTGGAAATTGTGAGAAAAAAGGATTTGGAAATTGTGAGAAAAATTAACCAGTGAGTTGTGGCTTCTCCAACACTGGAAGTTTTTAAGGAGAGATTGGACAGCCATTTTGTCTGAAATGATATAGGGTTTCCCGCCTAAGCAGGGGGTTGGACTAGAAGACCTTCAAGGTCCCTTCCAACTCTGCTATTTTATACTGGGAGACTACACGGCGCTGGGAAGTACAATTTGTCCTTATCTCAAGACCAACTCTGTCCATCTCAGGATAGTCCTTCAACTTTTCTCTATAATCTTTTTCTCTACACACACACGATATCCTTGATCTCATGGTCAACACAGTTCATTACAGCAGGAGTCCATTTTTTTTACATTTGATTTACCAATTATAATTTTTTTATCCTGCCTTTATTATTTTTATAAATAACCCAAGGTGGAGAACAGACATAATGTTCCTTCTTCCTCCTCTTTTTCTCGTGCAACCACAACCCTGGCTAGGTTGAGAGACAGGGGCTGGCCCAAAGCCCCCCGGTTGACTCTTATGTCTAGAACTCCCAATCTCCTGGGGATCGGCCCAAACTCACCTAGCAGGCTTGCATGCCTAAACTTAGAGACTAGAACTCCCAGCCTCCAGTGACTCACATCAATCACAAAGACAAGGACATAAAAAGGGAGAGTTGTTATTTCAGAAGAGTTTGGGTGGGGGGCCAAACCAGCAGCTGCAAAGGTTGCTCCTCCCAGCCCTCCCCTTCTCTGCCCCCCAAATTCTACTTACAGTTCCCCCCCCCTTGGCTGCCTTCCCCAGCATTTCAGGGGTTAAGGTCCACCAGTCTTTTGTCTTCCTTAAAGCAACCCCCCCCACCCCAACCATCCACTCCAGGTCCCCCCTCCAAACCATGGAGGGCTCTTTGCAGCCTCCAAATCCTTCTTTCCCCCCACTTCCCCTCCCAATATAGCCCCCCTCCCTCTCTTGCTTTCCCCCATCCTCCCAATACAGACCCCCACCCACCCCTCTCCCCACCTGTCCTCCTCCGCCCCCTCCCAATATAACCCCAACCTCCGCCACTCATCCGACCTCTTGCCCTCCCCCACCCTCCCAATATAGCCCCCTCCCCAATCCTCTCTCCCCCCCCTCTTGCCCTCTCCAGACCCTCCCCACCTCCTCCCAATAATGCTCCCCCACCGCTCTCTTGCCCACCCCAGACCGCCCCTCCTCCTCCTCCCCAGACCCCCCCTTCTCCTTCCCAAGATGCCCCCTCCCTCTCTCCCCCTCCCCCCCACTCTTCTCTTTCTTCCCCCTCCCTCCCCGCACTGGAACTCTTTGAACAGCCAGGCTCTGCTCGGCGACGGCGGCGCCCACTCCCTCCGCGCCCCCCGCCGCCCTCGAGCAGGGAGGCCGACTAGATGACCTCTGGCGTTCCCCCTCTCTTTTTTCCCCCCTCCCTCCTCCCCAGCGCCACCTTTTCACTTCCTTTCTTAAGGGGTGGGGGAAGAGGGAAAAAATAAGCAAATAAAAGCCCCCCTCTCCACAATTGGCGGGTGCTTTCCCCCCCCCCCCCCCCCCTGCGGGGGCCCCCCCCCCCCCTTTCCCCCCCCCCCCCCCCGCTTCAAAAGTGCTTCCTTACCCGTCCGGGGCTTGGAAAAGTTCCTAGCCGGCGGCCGGTCAGACCCGGGTAGGATAAGCCCGCGGTGTCCGCACTCCGAGCGACCTCCGCTCCGCCTGAGAGGCAGCAGCCGCCGCTTGCTCGCTTGCTCGCTCGCTCCGTCAGGCGCGGCCGATGGCGATCGATGAGCGTGGCTCTCGACTCCCCGGGTCTGGCCGAACCTCCTCCGAAGGGGAAAGCCTTGGCCGAAGCGACAGATCGGCGCTCGATTCTTTCAGCCTGTTCCCCCCCCCCCCGTCATTCTAGTTAAGCAGCTCCTCCCTCTCTCGGGCTTTCCCCACCCTCCACGAAGAGCGAGCCAATCAGAGGCGCTTTGGAAAGAGAGGGGGGGCCGGCTCCGCCCACGCGTCGGGAGGGGGGCCTTGTGGGAGGGTGGTTTATACACCTTGCGCGAAGGTGCCGCGCGATTGCTGCGGGGCAAAAAAAAATAAAATAAAAAGGATCCAGGAAAGGTTGCCTGGGGCCAAAAGCCCTGAGTTCGAATTCTACCGGTTGGGGGCTGGAAAACGCCACCTACCAGGGTGCAGCTACTGCTAAAGACAAACTTCTGGTGTGTGCCCCATCCCGCTTGGCCAATAAAGAATTATATTTCTATTATTTTATTTCTCTTTTATTTCTATCATTTCTACTCTATTTCTATTTTATCCCTATTCTATTCTATTTTAATTTTATTCTATTCTACTTTAGTTCTATTTTAATTGTATTCTATTGTATTCTAATCCTATCCTATCTTAATTCTATTTTACTTTAATTCTATTCTTTTAATTCTATTCTATATTCTATTCTATTGCATTGTGTTGCATTCTACTTTAATTCTACTTTAATTCTATTCTACTTTAATTTTATTCTATTTTAATTCTATTCTATTCAATTCCATTCCATTCCATTCTACTTTAGTTTTATTCTACTTTAATTCTATTCTATTCTTTTAATTCTATTCTACATTCTATTCTATATTTACTCTATATTCTAGTGCAATGCATTGCATTC